TGGTCAAGTTTTAATATTCTAGGTAGCTTTTAAGTTTTCACATTATAGTAGTACTATTATTATCAGAGGAAAAGGAGGGACGACATTGACCAAGACCTTCCATCTGGCTTTTTGTAAATATCTCTTTAACTTGGAACAAATAAACCCATCTCATCATCTCATACCAATTCCTTTCTAGTTTTCCTCCATAACTCCCACAGATGGGAATGCTTCCCCAACCCATTTTTTCATCCGCTTTTGTGCGCATCATCACCATCTTCTCCATCTTGCTCCTTCTCCCACCATCATACAGCGATAACGACAATACTTCGGAGAATTGTCATCCGCTTGAATTCCCCTGGAGAAACTGCGAAAAAGATGTTCCCACTATAGACGTAAAGCCAGATGGTTCATTCCTCCTGCGGCCCGCAAACCCATCAGATTACCCATTGACGATTGCTTCAATGAATTTCGAGGCATTTATTTGTCCCGAGACACCACAAAACATTCTGCTGCTCCCTTTATTGAAATTCTCCGAAACCAACAAAAACCTCACTCTGTTCTATAACTGTAATTCTGATCCTGATGAGCTACTGACGCGAAATACGACTGCTGATTGCGAACCCAATGACAACAACACAGCCTTCCACATGAATGCTTCAGAGCTTAAGAGGTATAATCATTCCAAGTGCAATACTGTGGAAGTTACGGTTAATCAGGCGGTGTTCACCGAAGTCCAGAAGGGGGAACTGACATTGCTTACTGCTTGGGGAGTTTGGTTTCATGGGGTGTTCAACAGTAGTGCGTTTTTATGTCATAAATGGGAGATGTTAGATGAGATATGTCGGAGTTTAGTTCGGCCTCCAGCTCCAGATCCAGGTATGGATTATCTATGCAAAACCATTTGTTTTCAATTTGGTGTAGCGCTTACGGCTTAGGATTATTCTGTTCTGGCAATTCGCATTCAATACACAATTGAGTCTAAAGACTCTATACTATAACTTCCTGGAAACTCACTGCTTGACATTGTTCTGGTCTACTTTGAACAAGTCAACGTGACTAGCAGCTTTGGTTGACTGGACTTTTAAACTTAACCCGTTGGAGCAAAATTGAGATGACAATTTGCCCCCACGCCCATGATCCTCCTCGCTGGTTTTTTTCACCCAGTTGGGTAGCTATCTAGTAAAATTGGCCGGAGCAGAGATGACTGAGGGAGTAAGTGCTTCTCAGTTCTCCCTCCAAGTGAATGAAAGTTAAAACTACAGTATTTTTTAGAAGGATAAAAAAAAAAAAAAAAAAAAAAAAAACCTACAAAAAGTCGTTTGGGGCACGGGTTGCTTTGAGGGAACTTGTGCCTTGAGTACTAGCTAGGCTAGGAAGTAGGAACGGGTTCCTTGAGAGAACTTATGCCTTAGGTAGCTTGTCACGGGTTGCTCAAGGGAACTTTTGCATTGAGTAGGCTTGCTTGCAAAGCTTTCGCGAAGTTCAAGCTTGAAGCTTGCCTTGACTTCGCATTTGATTCAAGTGACTTGGTTAAATTATTTGTGTTTGACATGGAACGTAGTAATTTAATGAACTTCATTATCTAATTTGAATTAAAA